TCCAAGGAGGTCCAAGTACTCCTGGTGAACATTGTCCCCGTGGACCGCATGCAGGTAAGGGATGTCTTTGGCAAATGGCAGAAGGAGCCCAATGATCCTTTCTGCCCAGCGGTCTCTGAGGTGGAGTTCTAACTTCCTTTGGGTTGTAGCCGACTCTTCCTTGAGTCGCCCAGGCTTCCAGTGCCTCCATTTGGCCTCCACAATGGCCATTATGGGAGGCCGTGCATGAAAGGCTCGCCATCTAGCCCGGTCCATGCTTTCCTGTTGCTGTTGAAGGGGTGTGTGGAAGGCTGAATCTGGTGCGCCCGCAATCAAAGTGAAGAGGCTAAAACATGCATCATAGGTCCTATCTCTCTCTTCTGGGGGCGCTGGTTGTGGCACCCGGTTCATGCAGTCTGCCACAAAGTCTTCCATCCAGGGCGTGGTAGCCACCATCATGGAGTTACTGTGAGCCACGTTCATTGGGTCGATGTCATTGCTGGGGTGTACCCGAGAGGTCCAGGTTCCCCCATCCATGGCCTCCGGATGGTCCGGTGGCACTTGTTGCATGCAGAGCTGCATGAACAACTCCCCCTCCGTTTGTGTGGGGAAAATGCCATGGTCCAGCAGGCTGTCTCGCATGTGTTCAGGGAGCCGAACCATTGCCAGGCCAAAGGGTGTTCTACGCACAAGATCGGGTTCCATGATGTCCCGACTCTACTATGGCCAAGCCTGGCCCAAAAAGGGTACTGCGGGTGTGCGGAGCACTAACACGTGAAAAAGGCAAGCAGGAAGAACAACACCGAAAGCCCAGGAAAAACCATCAGGGTTGCAACTGGACAGAACTGAGTGAGTGCAAGTCACATGGACATCTGTCACATCAGCGTAATGGGCGAAGCCCGAAAGGATACCAATAACATCAAACCAAGGTAAAACATGGTAAAACGCAGCAATGTTCAAATAGCCACATGCTGTAAATGATTCTGAGGCAGCCACATGCAGGTTTCCCTTTTTACTGTGTGAGCTGGCATCCCAGCGGTCTGGCCCCTGTCTTGGCCCTTGTCGTGGTGCGCAACCAATGCTATTCATACAAAAAGGAAGGTGTCTGCAGAACCGAGTGGTGACGTTGGTGCAAGACGCTACCAGGCCACCAGGTCAGTAAAAACAGCCCTTCGCAAACACTCAGCTCTCAGGCCGGCTGGACTCGGCTCGCTGCCAGCGCGTTGATCTTCTGAAGGCCTTCGAGGTCCGGGTTGCTCAAAAGGACCGACCAAATGGCGTTGGAAACATTGCCATTTCCATTCTGGCATGAAAACTTCAAGCGCTGGGTGTGGTCAGGGTCAATTTCCAAGGCCACATCTCGCGGGGCCGCAGTCGGCTCCACTCGCTTGTAATACTCAAGCCTGGACTTCACCCAGCTGTTGTACAGCTGTTGAGGTGGCTCGTCCAAAATCAGTTGGAGGTTGACTTTGACTCCCCTGTGCTCTCCAAGCAATTGGACAAAGCGGGAAGCTCCTTTGCCTTGTCTCCAAAAGCCCTGGCAGGCCTTGCAGACCCAGCCTCCACGAGTCACTCCAGCCTCTTTCGTCTTCAGTTCCCAGGGACTGATACTGCGGAGGATGAGCCCGCAATCGGTGCGGCCCCAAAAGGCATGGACTCCCCGGTGGCCGTAGTGCTCCCGCTTGTACTTGGGGCTGCATATGGACACCACGTTCTCCAAGGAGAGCTCTGGGTACTTACCGGTGCCCGAAGCTACCGTAGTCGCCTGCAGAGCCTCCGGTTCCAGCGCAGTCTTCAGGAAGCCATCAATCTCTGCCTGGGAGTAGCCCAGACGGCAATAAAAGCTCTCCGCCTTCTCATGGGGAACCAGGGCAACCCACCATAGCTCACAGTTGCACCGCCAGGCAACTTGCACTTGCACCATGCTGTGGGCCCCCAGAGTGGCTGACAGCGCCTGGAAAACGTCCGGGAGCTGCCTGAAAGCATCCAAGGGCAAGGTGATGCGCTCATCACAAACCGCTCGAAAACGGAGCTGCTCCTTTGTGTCCTGGATGTCCTGCTCGGGCAAGTCCAAGACCACCGCTGGGGTTCTGGCTAAGAAAACCGAGGCAGCCAAAAAGCTGCCAATTTCCTTGTAGAGCAGCTTGATTTCATGTTGTGATTGGGGAAACCGGAGGCCCACACTGGTGAGGAAGGACTTGATCTCTGAAGTCCTCTGCCGGTGTGCCGCCAACTCTGCCACCTTCTTCTGGCGGATGCCTTCCCCATGCCCTCTGCGCATCGGTTTGACGATCAGCGGCATGCCACACCAAGCCTGGTAGATCTCCTTGAACGTCCAGGACTGTCCAAGCATCGTGATCATGGAGGGAAGGTCCCATGATTGCACCCTCCGAACCAGGTGGGTATCGTCGGTGCCAGAAGCTACCGCCGTCCCCGGGGCCCAGAAGAAGCCAATGATCTTGTCCAGGTCTGGTCGCTTGCCCTCGGCAATCTGTTGCAGGACCACCTGTTCTGTGTAGGTTTTGGGCGTGTAGAAGGAGGTGCCCAGCGGGTTTGTCCTGAGTTCCAAAGCCAAGACCTCAGCCGTAGGTGCCGGTTTCGCCCAGGCAGGTGCCATGAGCGGGCCCTGTCGCAGTTCCCACTCTCCGCCCCAGGCTCTGACTTCACCTTTGTGGTACTGCAAGATGGAGTCAAGGATTGCGTACTTGCGTTCCAGGCTGTCCGGCGGGAGGAGTCGTGCTAACTGGGCCTCTTGGGAAGATATCATCTCCGTCCCCGTGGTGTACATGTCGAGTTGCGTTTTGGGGAACTCCGTCATGAGGCGGTCTTGGGACAGCGGAGGCTTGTTATCCTTGATGAGCTCTTTCATTCGGAGGTAGGGCTGCTTCAGTGCCTCCATGTCAAATTGTTCAGGGCCCTGAAGTCCCATGGCCGGCGCGAAGAGGTTGTTCTGCCATGCCTCTTGCAGGGCCGGGGTCCACAGTGAAAAGGACGCCACTTCAATGGGCTTGAGGGCCTTGCGTCGGTCTCTGAACTCTGTGTCCAGGGCCTTGTTGGCGGCCGCCGCTTTCTCCTGTGTGGTCTGTGCCGCCACCAAAGCCTCGTAAGAGGAGGTGAGACCACTTTCTTCATGTTTTCTTTTGAGGTAGGACCGAAACTGCTGGAGGTCAGCGTGGCGGAGCATCTTGGCACTGACCGGATTCTGGGTTTCCTGTGCACCCTGCTGGATGGCAGTCAGTGTATGCAGCTCATCTTCCATCGCCACAGTCTCTTGCTGGTGTTGAATCTCCTTCTTCCTCCTCTTGGCCTCCTGTGCCGCTTCCGTAAGCTCTTCTTCTGGTGTTGCCAGCAAGTCCACCTTGAAGCGCATCAGTTCAATGGTCTTCGGATGAAAGATCACAGCAGTTTGAGTAGAGTCTCTATCATCCATAGTGGGGGGGCGTTCGCCATCTGGATGAAAGATCTCGTCCTGCCCGAAGGCCACCACGTGCTGCTGCAGTGTCATGCGCTGGGAGGCAGGAACTTGCTCCGAAAAGCTGACCAGCCCCGTACCGGCGCCCGAAGCTGCCGCAGGGGGAGGTCGGCCAAGATCTCCCACTTCCACAAAGCCTGAGGCCTTAGTAACCTTAGTATCTGTGGGAACCCAAGTCGGTCCCGCCTCAGTGAGCCTAAGTTGCCAGGACTGGCCGGCCACCTCAATCACTGACAAAGGTGTCATTGACAGGTCAACAGGCTGAGAGCCTTGACAAAGCAAACATTTGGATAACTGTCCCCACGGTGCATTGCAATCAGAACAAACTAATTGCGGAGAAGTTCCAGGGTCCTTCTCTTTCAAATTCACCATGGATCCCCCACGCTGCGTGGTGTGCCGGAGTTTCAACATCTGTGTGTGGACAGCCTCGCGCTTCGAAATGTGGTACACCTCTGCGATCTTGACCACCAAGGATGCCGTCCACGGAGAACTGCGGAAAGCATCCAAAAGGGAACGCAACTCACCATGCGTAATGTCTCTGAAGTACTTGGCAGCCGAGTGAGGCAGGGCTGGAATCAAAGGTGCCCAGCCTTCGATGGTGAAGGTCTCTGTGGTCGGATCCATGTGGAGTGTCAACGTCTCCTTCTCTAAGACCCGTGATGTCTGGGTCGGAATCTGTGCCTCTGCATGGACGAAACCCGACGGAGGTTGCCCACTTGACGCTTCCACACTTGTCTCCGGCTTGGGTTCCAAGCCCAAGTTTGCCATCACTTTCTCCATCTCATGGAGCTGCGAAGCCAGAGTCTCCCTGGTGATGGCGGGATCATCTTCAATCTCTGTAATAACCTCGGCCGGCGCAGCCTCGGTCACCTGGGTGGAAAGCACCATGTAATCGTCCCCTGCGTCCAAATCTGTCCCAATCAGCGAGAAAGAGCCCACGGTGCCAGTCTCACTAGCCACTGGACTAGAAGCCGCCATGGCCAAAGAAAAGGATCGGAACGTGTTTTTCGAAAGTATTGGATCGCAGGGGGAACAGCTTGAGCCAAAATGGCATAGCCATTTTGGCAACTATATCGTCAACACATTACTTGCTCTCCACAAGTTCCAAGCAAAGAAACAAATAATGTATATATATATATAGTGTATATATATATATATATTGTATATATATAATGTATATATATATATAATGTAAATATATATATACATATTATGTATATATATATAATGTATATATATATATACATATTATGTATATAATATACACTCATGCGTAATACGTATGTTGTAGAATACTGTAGATATGTATATAATATCAACGGCAAATAATAGCAAATAGCTACTGATAGGAATCCGTCTCTGCCCAGGTTCAAAGGACTACTATTTGCAAGGCATAAATATGATGAGTGGGCTGGCACAGAGATCAATTAGAAGCCAGGATTGAACACTAGCTGCAGAACCAACCCTAGTTTGCATGATGGGTGCACAAAGCCAGCCTGCAATGCCCGCAGCACAATGCAACATACAGGTTCTTGTCTGAGGTCCAAACCATCAGCTTCAGCTGCCTCTGGATCTACAGTTTCCTCATTCTCGTCATTCTCTTCGGTCACAACATGCACTTTGGCCAACACCATCGCTAGAGCAGAGTTGAGCTGACCCACGGAGAAACCGAAGTGATGGGACAATTCTTATGCAGGTGAGTTCAGGTATGTTCAGGTATTAGCCATTAGCTTTGCAACATTTCGAACCAAACCGCAACACATATGAGAAAAACAAGTGCTACTAGAAAGTAAGCATAGATGTTGGTGAGTTTCTTCTGTGCGGGAGCCAGTGCGGCAACAGCGAGGCTTACCACTTTGCGAACGAGACAATGACATATAATGGCATTGCTTTGATTTGAAAAAGAACCCAAACGCCAAAATGCCATTTCACCTCATGCTCCATGCTCCACACTAGATCGGACAGGTTCCTTTTCTTCAAACAATGCTGCGATCCTTTTCGCACTAAGCGCTGCCATTCCATTTCTTCTAAGATTTCTAAGGTGCTTTCTGTAGACTTTGTACAAAACGCCTGATCTCGTCATCTTTCAAATCTGCCACTATGCGCTTGGCCGATTCTGAGGCCTGTCAATGCTGAGAACTTTTTGGCGCAGGTCCGTGTTCCGTTTCTCATTCAGTCGCTGTGTGCGGTATTTTGATTATGCATAAACCTCTGACGGGATGAACTCAACAAAATCATACACAACAAAATCATACGCTATAAATCTCTATCATACTCTTTGTCCATGCAAGCAATTGTGACACTGCAGGGATTCCATGGTTTGCACAATGCTTCAGCCCCACCTGCGGTATTGGCACCCCGATTGCGTCCTCAAGGACTTCAAGCACACCAGGCTACACTTAGAAACGTCATGAAACGTCCCCATCCTCCATCTGACAAATCACCAGGGCTTAGTCAAGCTAACGGGGTGATGGCGATCAAACAAGCTCACTGAGACGGCATTAACATTTCGACAGCCTTCTACATCACAGCCTCTGCAAGAGCTATAGGCGTGTTGCTGTGCACCATGTATTCTGTCCTGCAAACGAGTGGTATCAAGCTCTGCCGCAGCCTTATTTCCAGCTCCTGCTCCTGGGCGTAAAGACTTGAACTGAGACGATGGTGCTTTGTGTCACTTTATTCATCTTATTTTCATCTTCATTGTGTCAGAGGATCAGTGTGTGACGTCACTGCTCCTGTTGGGATCTGTTGGGTGTTTCCTTTCATCTGAGAGTCTTCAGTTCTTGTCAAAGAGTTTTGCGTGCCCTGACCCACATCCTAGAAAGCGGCAAGCAGATTCTATCTTGGTACAAGTACACTATTAACCCGCAAGGATCATTTGTTTTGATTGAATTGTCTAAATCTGCCAACTTGAGATTTTCATCAAACCCTGTCCGCGAATCGTCGGAGGAGTCCACTCGGCGCATGAAGATATCCTCTCTGCCAGCAGCGAAACCTACAACTCTGTGCTCTGTGATGCTCTGTGGACATTGCCAAACTGCATTGAACTTCCAGAAAGAGAAGGCAAACTGCACAAGTACGCAAATAGACTTGACAGTTTCATGTAAATGAACATAAGGCACCAGCTATCTGTGCATAGGATAGTGTCCCTGGATTGACAAAGTTGAAAACACCAGCAGCCCTTCGCTTTGCCAGGACTGGTAAAAGGGGTATCAAATCATCCAGGACTGTAACTGATGTCTCCACGCTGTCCACCTGCTGAAACCTTGCCTGAGACAGGGTGATTACGCGACAACATGAATGGAATGCAAATACGAGCAACCAGCAAAAAGTATTATGGCCAATGCCCCAAGCCATTCCAAGATTTTCCAAGTTGCTAGCTTGCCCAAAAGGCCTCGTGCATCTAGGTCTGAGCTGAGTGGATAGAGCACTCTGATGACCAGCGCGTTTTCAAAGAAATTGGTCAACTCCTCCATCTTCTGCCTGAGAGCAGTATAAACTCCGGGTGAGCCACCGTTCGGAGGATCACTTTCTGAAAATTTTCTCTTCTTTTCCGATGTGACATACAGGGCTCCAGTTCCCACCAGTATCACGTGAAGTCCGCGTTCATGGCACGCAGCCGCCACGGACAGCTGTCCAGTGATATTTGCATCGACTGTTTCAACAGGATGGGAATCACACCACGCAATGTTTGGTCTCCCACGCTCACCAGCAGCACATATAACTCCAAGCTTTGGCTTTATTTCATCCAGAAGCGCTTCCAACCCCAACCTATCTTTCAGCCGAAGTCTTGTTGGATAAACCGAAAAACTGGAGGACTGCAAATAACGGAGAATTGCAGCACCTAAAAATCCACTCGGACCCATCAGGATGAAATCAATATCCTCTGTGCCATGTGTACAGCTCGGCACATTGTCATCCATGGCTCAATGTGACAAAGATCGCCTTTTTGCGCCCTATACACCGTTGTTATCAATTTTTGCTGTCCTTCACGTCGAGATATGTCGAGATACAGCACATTCCCACCAGATCTTTGTTTCAATGCATCATCACCCAAGGCTGAATCACAACCCCACACAATTCTAATAATTCTATGCGGGCAGAAAACATCAGAAAATCATCGTTTTGCAGCTGCTATGGCCAAGGCTCATTAGCAAAAAATGCTGCATTGTGACCCTGAGCTGTGTGCAAGCGCATTCTTTCAAACACACACACACACAAAAAAAAAGAAAACAGCACGCGTCACAACAGACCAGTTCTATCTTAATGAAATACATGAACAATGAAGATAGTGAAGCCGAAACGCGCAGCTTTTCTGAAGGCTTTTCCATGGAGCAAGCGAGTTTTCGCGGCTCCGCGTCTCAGCGTCTAAGGGCTTGGGCTCCGCCCTTTGCCTCTTCGTGGAGCACCTCCTCTAGTGCGTCCTTTCCCACCTCAGAGGCTTGAGAAACTCCCCCGATCTATTTCCAACTGATTCTGCAAGTCCATCCTTCTTTTGTATTCTTTTGTACTTTTGTACTGTAGGAACATAGCGGAACACATAGCTGTAACAAGTTGGAACATTCCAAAGAAAACACGTCTCCAAATGCTACACAGAGGAAGGGGGAGCTATTCAAGGGTTGCACCTCCCGGCGGTGCGGCACCTGCAAGACGAAATAAAATGAGATGTAGACACATAAGGACAATTCAGAAGACACATCTGACTAATCTTTTCGCAAAACTTGACTCGACTCATCGACTCTTTCATTCAAATCATTCAATCTCCCTTGCCTGCAAGTCGCAGAAGGTCTCCGCTGATCTCCTTTGCATTTAGGATCATTCAAGCACATTGAAAGAATCTAAGGATATCCGAACATATTTAAGCATATTTAATAAGCATATAATTACACAATTAAAAGATTATTTTAGCATACTTAAATAATCTAAACTTAAATATATTCAAGCATCAGATAGCATCAGCATGTTTTTGGACATGGAAGCTCGGAGCCCAAGAAAAAGCGTAAAAATCAGAATTCGACAACTGCTCCGTTGCACGGACAAACTCTATGGCTCTGTGGTCCTGGTTGGTCCGCTCCATGACTTCAATGATTCCCCTGGCTTTGGCTGCGTCTTGCCCTGGCAGATCTGGCAGCTCCAGCGACTGAACCTCTACATGCTCGAGCCATGAAGCGCCTGTCATGAAGGTGATGGCGAATCCCTTCCTCAGCGTCAGCGATGTCAGCGTCACCCCAATCTGGTCACAGACTCTTCGATTCTCCGCTCCACATTTTCTCATATGCTGAATCTTTCGGAGCACGTTTCAAAGTTAATGTCTTGTTACGGGACTCAGTCTCTCACGCCCCAGCACGGCCAGTGCGACCAATACGGTGGACGTAATCCTGTAGTCTTGTATGGGATGAATTCGGAACACGTCCGCACACAGCCTGAACTAAACAAGAACCATTTCATGACATCTACTGACGTCTCATGACGATGTTCAATGCGTGCCTCTGTGTTGTTGGCTGGATCAAAGTTTATGACCAGGCCCTGAGCAACATCCATGACGCTTGAGTGCTGGATTTCAATGTGTTGAGTGCTGAGCCGCAAGCGACACCCTTGATGTCTAATCCACGTGCAGCCACATCCGTAGCAATGAGAACCTCCATCTTGGAAACACGGGCGCTAATTAAATCCACCCATACACCCACACACACACACATCATCGAATCCTTGAACAATTGCATGATTCTATGACCTGCTCCAAATGGTTGTCAAACCCCTCTACATGCTGAAATCTACATGTCACTAAGTACGGAGCTGAATGCATTGTGGCACGATTGTATACTGTATAATCAAAGATGATCAAAGGAAGTTTGGGTAGGAAACCTCCAATGTGTCCCACTTAGCGAGCTTTGCGTAATATACATACTTGAGGCCAGGGGGAAGGTAAAAAGGCTAGCAGGGCTGGGGTAGGGTGGTAATCATAAAGGGGGATTAGCAAGGTGAAGTCGGAATGCGGCAACGGTCTTACATGGTTTCTTGGAGTTGCTGCAAGTCACAAACAGCGCCAATCTTTTAATGTTGATGAGGTTGCTGACCAGAACGATGAAGGAAACTGATGATGACCAAAGTGATGGTAACAGGAATGAGTTGATGACGACGATAATGAGGACGAAGAGGATGATGAGGAAGATGAAGATGATGGGGGTGATGAGGATGATGAGGATGCTGAGGATGAGAATGAAGATGAAAATGAGGATGGTGAGTATGATGAGCAGGGCTGTTGTGGGGTTGCAAAATCTATTGAGTCCAGCAAGCGAAAAGCCCCCAATGCAGTAATGGTCTCGCGCCAAGTGTTGTAAGCAAAAGAAACACAACAAAAAAATGCCCCCCAAATGGAAGCCCGAATCTGCATAAAGATGTTCGAGACAATGCAACATGTGTATGAAAATGATCAGGATGATGATGAGGATGATGATGATGTTGTTGACGACGACGACTACGACGACGACGACGATGATGATGTTGTTGTTGACGACGACGACGACGACGACGATGATGAGGATGAGGATGATGATGATGATGATGATGATGATGATGATGATGATGATGATGATGATGTTGACGACAATGATGATGATGATGATGATGATGATGATGATGATGATGATGATGATGATGATGATGATGATGATGATGATGATGATGTTCATGTTGATGTTGTTGTTGTTGCTGCTGCTGCTGTTGTTGTTGTTGGTGGTTGTTGTTGGTTGTTGTTGTTGTTGGTTGTTGTTGTTGTTGTTGTTGTTGTTGTTGTTGTTGTTGTTGTTGTTGTTGTTGTTGTTGTTGTTGTTGTTGTTGTTGTTGTTGTTGTTGTTGTTGACGACGACGATGATGATGATGATGCGGATGATGGGGATGATGATGAGGATGATGAGGATGATGAGGATGAGGATGAGGATGAGGAGGGTGAGGATGAAGATGAAAATGAGGATGATGACCCTCTACTAGCCGGAAATCTCCTCTCGGGGGGGCTCGGGGGGGGGGGGACCAGGGGGGAGGGATCGAACCTGGGACTGGCGGGGGGGGGGGTCTAACTGGAAAAGTTTAGGGTTTCATGTCCTGCTCCCTGCCTATTCCTTGCTAAAGCAAGAGCAACTTCAGCTAGCTCGTTTGGGTTCCATGCGATTCCTACTTTTAAGGCTTCAAATTAAAAGTGGGTAAGATTGATGATCTGAGAGGGGTTTACAAATCAAATGGCAATAGTACTTGATGGATACTTTTTTCTTGCTATCTTTTGTGGCGTGGTACTGGTAGCAAGGACACAGGCAGCATACACAAGGAAATGGAAGATTTGAAACCAGAAGGCAACAGCTGAATTGCATACAGTTGTGATTGGCGACACTTTTTAAATGGCACGGTTGCTAGTGCTTGCCGGTAGCACCCGAACGTAGCGCGGCGGAAGTTTTGAAAAAGGAAACTGTTATAACTAACAAAAGACGTACCTACTGGATGTGGTGCCTCTTTCTTCATTTCAAAATTGCAGCAAATTGTAGCAGCAACGTCTTTTAGATTTGTGTCAAATACAAAGCTAAACAAACGTTCCCTTTTGACAGCAATGTCATGACGCGCAGCTACAAATCCCTTCTGGTTTTCAACTGTTCTGTTTCTAGCCAAATGCATCGTTATATTCTATTTCGATCTATTTCGTGCTCCTCCTGTGCCCATGCTTTTAGTAACTAGCATCAAGATTTCTACGTGGTAAAAAGAAACTCCCGTTTTGCTCCAAAGCACTGACCTTGAATCGTCCACTTTTCAGACCATTGAGAGCCTCTTCACGCTGCCTCTGGTCCTTCCGGGCTGATGCCAAAACATGCCGAAACTACCACTAGCATTCACTAGAACATTTAATCATACTTGATTATCCATCTTGATCCACTTCATGAATGTTCATGAATGCTCATGAATGTTCATGATGCCAATGAGTCCAATGAGGCTCTTCCAAGTTGTCCTTGTCACCATGAATGGATGTGCAAGGAAGACCTGAACAGCGCAAACTTGGTCGGAAGCGAATCTTGCTGCAGCGTCCAATTGCTTCCACTTGTTTCTACTAGCGCCATAGATTCTTCTTCACTTCCATTCACTTCCTCAATCTTCTTTCCTTTGGTGTTCAATTGCAAAGAGAGGGACAAGTTTGCAGCACACTGCCTTGGCGATACAGCTCGTTCGAAAGGCTCTCGCACATTCTTTTGGTGTTGCAGAAAACGAGAGCCTTGCGGCCATAGTCAGCCATGTATGAAAAGGGATGGTTGAACCATGCAAAACCGAGGTTTGAAATCATCTGGAAATGCAGAATGTATGCTTCCGATCTGCCTTGCCGCTAGCAGTTTGGCTTGTAAGCCCAGCCTCACAGTGTGACATGACAATGTTGCACTTGTTTCAACCCTGACCCAACAGCCAGCAACTTGGGCAAACAAACTTTAAACAAACATGTTCGCATCATGATTTGATGATGTTTGATGTCACCTGCCTCCCGGAGGGTAGACACAATTTCTCTGTTTTTGTTGAAGGCATCCATGACCTTCACAATCTGTGTGATGTCCTGAGCAAGGAGCAATAAAGTGGAAACTCTTAATCATGAGCTGCAGCCATTGCTTAGATGTCCTGGTTGCCTTTCAAGACCTCTCGATTTCCAATCATGACTTTGTAGGGCCTTTCACGTTGAATCCGACACTTTCTGGAGCACTCTACCAACTTCACTGGTTTCCATTTTGCT